CCAGCCTGGTGGCTGCAATCGACAAGATGGTTGTGTGGCTGGGCAAGTATCAGGAAGAGGCTCTGAACTGCGAATGCATTGTTCTCGCCACCATCCTGAACCCTCGATTTCGAGGCAAGTTTTTTGCCATCCATTACCCTGATCACGATATCTATGCCAATCTGGCTATTGAAACCGCTTTCGCCAATGCCTTGGAGGAGGACAAGGACAATGAACAGCCAACCCCAGAACCTGATGAGACCAATCGATCTGCTGAGGTCGATGATGCTTTTGATATCTTCGGATCTTCCAATAACACACCCAACAAAGAAACAAATTCAGAACTTGAAGACTATTTACCAGGGAAATACCCAGCCAAGAAGGATCAAACCCCTCTTGGTTGGTGGGCGGTTAGTTTGATCCTTCTATATCGTTGAAGTGATTGGCACCTTGGCTAACTTTCTCTTTTCACGCACAGGAACATGAACATCTATTTCCAACACTGGCCAAACTGGCTCGCGATTACTTGTCGATCTCGGCCACATCCTGCGCATGCGAGCGCACCTTTTCTGCTGCAGCCGATATCTGTACTCCTACCCGTGGAAGTTTGCTCCCAAAGACGATGGAGCGTTTGGTTGGCTCTCAAGCGTGGCTGAAGGACGGGATAGTTGCTGATGGTGAATTTGAAGAAGCTGCAAACGCACTTCAAGCTTACATAGAGACCTTGGTAAAAAAAAGGCCTAGGTGGCTCTTTGTTATTTTCATTCCTGTTCTTTCTTCTATAATGTCTTTTTCTTTTTTTATCTTTACCTTGATTCTTTCTCAAGAATCCACTCTACTACATGTCTAATACACAAGTTTTTATTATTGTTTCACCTTTTATTATATCAATGAGCGCCGCTTTTGAGTGGTTTTGAGCGATTTCGATAGTGCGGCGCTCGTTGTGCGTGTTCGTAGCGGTTGCACCACTACGAGCCTTCAAGTGAGAAAAAAAAACCAAATGTGCGATTAGGAATCGGAGCGACTTAGAGCGGAGCAATCGCTCCGTAACAAAAAAAGGTCTAAAACCTGTGCGTGTCGGAGCAATTGCGGTATTGTGTCTACCAAGCAATTGACAAC